GAGGAGGAGGAGGAGGAGGAGGAGGAGAAAGGGAAGAGAAGGGAAGACATCCACAGCTCAGACCGTCTCCGACCCGACCTTCTTCACAGCGCGCATGTCCTTGCCGCAGCGGATGTGGATCTGCTCCTCCAGCGCGGTGGCCTCCAGCCTAGCCGGGAGAGGCCGCCGGCTTGGCCCCCCCCCCTTCCATCACCGGCTGCAGCACCACGTTCTCTGGAGTCGCTTGCCTCGTCAGGGTACGCGTGCCAGCTTTCGCGCCCCTGCCCGTCAACAGCACTGCGCCCCCCCTTTCTCGGCTCCTGGCGGCACTGCAACTTCCAGGTTTGCTGCCCAGAACACCCAAGGTGGCACTGCGCCTGTGCCACGCTCGAAAAGAAACTTGCTGAGGAGGACAATGAGGAGAAGGAGGAAGAGGAGGAGGAGGTGGAGGAGGAGGAGGACGAGGAGGAGGAGGAGGAGGAGGGCGGCGAGATGGAGGAGGAGGAGGAGGAGGAGGAGGAGGAGGAGGAGGAGGAGGAGGAGGAGGGCGGCGAGATGGAGGAAGAGGAGGAGGGGGAGGGCGACGCGAGGGAGGAGGATATACAGTGCATGTTCACACAGCGGCATAACTTGCTCATGCAGTGCATGCTGCGTGCGCCCACGAACTCGCATCTACCTACCACGGATATCGAAGACGCCTACGATGAATCACCGCCGCCTTCTGCCTTTTGGTGCATGCGCCTATGTGGCCGAGGTTAGGGCTAGAACTTGGACAGGCTACCGCTAACTTCGGGGAACACGTGAGGAAGAGTAAAACGAGGAGAAGAAGGAAGAGCAGGGAGTACGTAGGAGGAGCAGAGGGAGGAAGAAAACAAGGAGGCGGGAAGAGAGGAGGAGCAGTCGTCTTGGCAGCCTCTTGGGGCACGTTTGGGGTTTATTGGGAGCTTCCTGGGGGGCTCTTGGGGGTTCTCCTTGTGCCGTTTGGGGGCCTTTGGGGGCTTGATCGGAGGTTAGTTGGCCGTCTCAGGGTGTTCCTGGGCCGTCGGGGGCCATTTGGGTGGCCTCTCTGGATCGTCTTAGGGCCTTGCAGGCCTTTCAGGGTCGTCTTGGAAGCCAGTTTGGGCGTCTTGAAAGTCTCTTCGGCCATTTTGGGCCGTCCTCTGGGCCGTCCTGGGGCCACATTGGAAGCCTTTTGGGCGCTCGGGGGGCGATATTGGAAGCCGTCTTGGGGGGCCGTCGTAAAGCCGAACACAAGCAAATGCCAATAGCTGTCGCACACTAAAGGACAATCAATGATTTTGCCTTCTTCGGGCCGTCCTGGAGGATCAAGGAACCTCTTGGAGGCCTCTCGGGTGAATCCTGTGTAGTTCTTAATGCATCTCGGGGCCATACTGGGCTCTCGTGAGGCCGTCTTGGAGGTATCTTGGAAGTCATCTTGGGCCATCTTAGCCGTCTGGGGGGCTATCTTGGGGCCATCTTGGAGGGACAGACCGATGGACTGTACAAGTCTCAGAGCCTTCTGGGTGGCCAGCGAACTGGACCGAAGCCCCAGGGGGAGTTCTGAAACAACTAGACCGCTTGACGTTCGGCACGCCAGGCACGCCTGTGGCAAGACCACATGGGGCGGCAGATCGAAGACGCCTACGGCGAATCACCGCCGCCCCCTTCCTTTTCAGGAGGCGCCTATGTGGCCAAAAGCTTGGCCCCAGGACGGCCCAAGGTATCGGACTATGTATTCACCCAGCCGCTCTGAAGCTTCTTCGGGGAACGCTTGGAGAAGGAGGACGGTGAAAATCAGGAGGATGAGGAGGGAGAGGAGGAGAAGGAGGAGGAGAAAGAGGAGGAGGAGGAGGAGGAGGAGGAGGAAGAAGAGGTGGAGGTGGAGGTGGAGGAGGAAGATGAGGAGGAGGAGGAGGACGAGGAGGAGGAGGAGGAGGAGGAGGAGGAAGTGGAGGAGGAGACATCTCGGGAGCCTCTTGGGGCACTCTCGGGGCCTCCTGGGAGCTTTTCGGGGATCGTTTGGAAACCTATTGGGGCCTTCTTGGGCCTCTTTGCGTCCATTGGGGGTTTCTTCGAAGAATGTTTGGTCGTCTTAGGCGTCCTTGGGCCGTCGGAAGCCGCCTCGGGGACCTTTCTGGGCCGCCTTGGGGCCCTGTTGCGGCTCCTCAGGGCCGTCTCGGAGGCCATCTTGGGCGTCTTGGAAGCTTCTTGGGACCACGTTGGTCCTTTGGGGGCCCTCTTGGGGGCCTCTTGGGGGCCTCTTGGGTTGTTTTGGGGCCATCTTGGAGGCCTCGTGGGCGCTCTGTGGGCGATCTTTGGGGCTCTTGGGCCGTCGGACGGCCGAACAGTTGCAAGGATCGGCATTCTTCAAAAGCGGAATGAACATCGATGATTTTGGCCACTTCGGGCTTTCCTGGAGGATCTCTTGGAGACTTTTTGGGTCGTCTTGGAGGCCTCTTGGACGCTTCTTGGGCCGTCCTGAAGGCTTCTTGGGCGGACTTGGAGGCATCTTTTACCCTCTTGGGTTGTCTCTTGGAGGCCATTTGCCCATCCTATGATGTCCGCTGGAGGGGGCCGTCTTGGGCCATCTTGAGGCCATCTTCGGCCGTCTTGGGTGCACACTGGGTGCATCTTGGAGTCATCTTGGGATATTTTTGGGTGATGTTGGCAGTCTTGGAGGCGTCTTGGGACCACCTTGGAGGCCATCTTGGGCCATCTTGATCGTCTTGGAGGCGATTGGGGCAACGAGAGATGAATTTCTTGTCGCTTTCTGGGTGGCCAGCGCATTGTGCAGAAGCCTCAGGGGGAGTTCCAAAATAAGCAAGACCATCTGAAGTCTAGCAGGCCAGGCACCCATATGGCAAGACCACAGGGGGCGGCACATCGAAGACGCCCACGGCGAATCACCGCCGCCCCCTGCCTTTGAGGATACGCCTATGTGGCCAAACTTTTAGGCCAAGGTTGTCCACACTATTGGACCATGCGTTCCCCCAGCCATTGTGGAAATCTTTCGAGGAACACGTGAGGGAGGAAGAGGATGACGAGGAGAGGAAGGGCCAAGGAAGATGACGAGAAGGATGAGGAGACCTTGTGGGAGCCTATTGGGTCATTCTTGCGGCCTCCTGGGAGCTTCCTGGGGGCCACCTGGATGCCTCTTGGGGGCCTCTGGGGACTTCTTGGGGCCTCTTTGACCGTCGAAGGGCGTTCCTGGCCCGTCTGACGCGGGAGCCGTCTTGGGGGCCTCTCTGGACCATCTTGGGGCCCTCTTGGGGCTCCGCAGGGCCGTCACGGAGGCCATCTTGGGCGTTTTGGAGGCCTCTTGGGCCGTCGTGGGGGCCTCTTTGGCCGTCCGAAGGCTTTCCTGGCCCGTCGGACGCCTTCTTGGGGGCCTCTCTGAACCGACCGGGGGTCCTCTTGGGGCGCTTCAGGCCCGTTTGGAGGCCATCATGGACGTCTTGGAGGCCTCTTGGGCCGTCTTGAGGCCGTCTTGAGGCCCTCTTGCGGTCGTCTTGGAGGCTTCCTGGGCCGTTCCCCAGAGCCTCAAGACATTTGCCTTGCGATACCGCATTTTTGAATATCGTCTTCGGTGGAGCTCCTTAGGGGGGCACGAGCCGCGTGACGGGTGTGCCAAAGTGGAATGGCGGCGGCACGCGGGCGCTGCCGCTGGGGCCTTCGGTGGAGCTCCCTACAAGGCCTTCGCCGTGGCTCCCTCTGTCCGTGATCTGTTCGACGGGGCGTGGCGAGAAAAGTCAGACCGTCCAAAAATGTCATCCCCTCTGTCTCTCCCTCTGTGCCCGCGCGCTCCAGAGCCCAAGGCTGCGGGCGCAGCGCAGCGCGGAGTCCCCGCGACGAGCGCCGGTCGCCCCGAAGGGGTCCCAGCGACATGCGCGGGTCGTCCGCTGCGCGGAGCAAAGAGAGCTACCTGGCTGGCTGATAGCGGGCCAGGCTCTGGCCGCTGGGCAAAGCGACGACGGGCGCGCGAGGCGCTGGGCAGAGCGCAGCGCGGAGTCCCCGCGACGCGCGCTGCTCGCCCCGAGGGGGTCCCAGCGACGCGCGCGGGTCGCCCGCGGTGCGAGGCCCAGCAATTGGACAATCGAGAAGAGGCGCGGCTGGGGCGGGCCGCTCCTCAGGTCAAGCCTCGCGGGTAAATTCGGTGATACCCAACCTCCTGGCGATGGCCGTCGCCTCCGTTCTGCACCGCTTCGTGCGCGCAGCAAACTGCCTCACCTTCTTCTGCAAGCTCTCCGGCGGCCCTGCTGGGCGGCGCCCGCATGAACAGGAGGTCCTCGTGGCGTGTGGCGCGCGACAGCAGCGCGTTGAGCTCCAGCCAGCAGTCGTCGTCCTCTTTCCTGCCGTTCCCGACCTCGTGGCGGCCGCAGTCCAGGGTCACCCCTAGGCGACGTCGGCCGGGGGGGCCACGAAACGCCGCGTTGGGCGCAGGAACCGCATGCGGACTCCGCCAGTGGGACCTTCGGTGGAGCTCCCTGTGGGGCCACGAAGCGTTGTGCGGAGCGCAGGAAGCGCATGCGGACTGCGCCATTGAGACCTTCGGTGGAGCTCCTTTTGGTGCCACGAAGCGTTGCAGTGGGCGCAAAAACCACGTGCTAGTTCCACCAGTGGGACCTTCGGTGGAGCTCCAGAGGGGGCCACGAAACACCGCACTGGGCGCAGGAACCGCATGCGGACTGCGCCACTGGAACTTCCGGCGGAGCTCCCTATGGGGCCGCGACACGTTGTACTTGGCGCAGGAGCCGCATACGGACTGCGCCAGTGGGCCCTTCGGTCGAGCTCCGTATGGGGCCACGAAGCACCGTACGGGGTGCAGGAACGGCATGCGAGCTCCGCCAGTGGGACCTTCGGTGGAGATCCTTGTGGGACCACGAAGCGTTGTATAGGGCGTTGGAAACGCATTGATGATGATGCTGGTGATGATGATGGCGATTATGATGAGGATGTTCATGATCATGGTGATGATGATGATGCTGGTGATGGCGATGATGAGAATAGGATGAGCATGCGGATGATGATGTTGATTATAATGATGATGATGATGATGACAATGGGAGAAAGGAGAGAGGGGAGGAGGAGGAGGAGAGGAGAGGAACGCGGGGCACTGTCTTTTCATAACGAGGATTCTACACCACAGGAGGGACAAATCATCAGGCGTCTAGCGCGCCGGGCACCCATGTGATAAATCAACATGGGGCGTCGGATCGTAGACGCTTACGGCGAATCACGGCTGCCCCTTCTCTTGTGGAATCGCGCATGTGGCCGAATGTTGTGGCCAGAGCTCTGCCAAGCTATCGGATCATGCGTTCCTCCAGCCATTGTTGAAATCCTTCGGGAAATACGTGGGGGAGACAAAACAAATCGGAGGAGAAGGAGACAACATAGAGGAGGAAAAATATGATGATGCTGATTTTTTATGATTGTTGTGTTGCTTTTGGTTTTGTTGTTTTTTTTTGTTGTTTGATTTTTTTTTTTGATGATGATGATGATGAGAGGAGGAGGAGGAGGCAGGAGGAGGAGGAGGAGGGAGGAGGAGGGTGGAGGTGGAGGAGGCGTGAGGGAGGCGGAGGAGGCGGAGAGAGGAGGACGCGAGGAGGAGGAGGGAGGAGGATGGAGGAGGAGGAGAGGAGGACGGGAGAGGGAGGAGGGAGGAGGGTAGGAGGGAGGAGGAAGGTGGGAGGAGGGAGGGGGAGGAGGGAGGATGGGTGGAGGGAGGGAGGAGGGAGGAGGGAGGGAGGGAGGGGGGAGGAGGGTGGAGGGAGGAGGGAGGAAGATGAGGAAGAGGAGGGGGAGGAAGGGGAGGCGGAGGAGGCGGAGGAGGCGGAGGAGGCGGAGGAGGCGGAGGAGGAGGAGGAGGAGGAGGAGGAGGAGGAGGAGGAGGAGGAGGATGCACGAGCCTCAGGAGGAGCCGGTGCCGACCCTCCCGCCGCGGGGGGCCTGGTCTCCACCTGAGGAGCCAGACCCCCCGACCGTGAACTGCATGCAGTCGACGGCTTTCCCCGGAACGGGGGCCCTGCGCCGTGCGGCTGCCTAGGGCCCCCGGCCGCGAGGCCGAGCGCGACGGGCATACCGATGCCGACGCCCAGCTCGCCTGTCACGTGCCCGAGCCGCGACCTGCGCGGGGGCCGTCGTACGCGGTCAGCATCTCCTCGAAGTTGCTGGCCATTGCGATCAGCTCGTCGCGGTCGAACGGGATCTCGGGCACCTTGGGGAGCCTCGCGCGCGTCGCCAGGCTGCGGACGAGATTCCGAAGCTGCCAGATCTCCAATCCAGCGTGCCTGCTCTTGCCAAAGTGCTCGCCGCCCTTGCCCGTGTTCTTGCCCTTGCCCTCGCGCGAGGCCGCGCTGGATGGCGGGCGGCTCCGCTGCACCAACAGCAGAGCATCAGCCCAGCTGTCGTCCTCCAGCATCGGCACGGGCGATGGATCGGGAGCCGCAGCGCCCCGCACGGCACCCTCCGCCGCCCCGCCCCCGTCGTCGACCACCTCCATGTCGAGCGGCGCCATGTCCGCGGCTGCTCCTCGGCCTCGTCCGCGCGGGCGGCGCCGCCGCCGCGGGGCGGCGGGTGGCGCGGCCGCCTCCGCAGGCGGGGCGGGAGCAGGCGGCGGCGCCGCCAGCACGGCCACGGCCGTGCGGAGGAGGCCCTCAGCCGCGCGCAGCAGGCGCACCGCGTCGCGGCCGCCTGCGGGGGCGCGGGCCGCCAGCCCAGCGGCGGCGTGGACCGCGAGGAGCGCGCCGCGCGCGCCCTCGAGCGGTGCCGCGCGGGCAGCCATCGCCGTACCAGGCGTCGGCGCGTCGGCGGCGGGGCCAGCAGCGAGCGCGCGTGAGCCAAAATGGTACTGAGCCAAAATGGTACTTGGAGGGAGGAGGGGGAGGGGAGGAGGGAGGTGGGAGGGGGAGGAGGGAGGATAGGAGGGAGGAGGGAGGGGAGGGGAGGAGGAGAAGGAGGGAGGAGGAGGAGGAGGAGGAGGAGGAGGAGGAGGAGGAACTATGAGGAATGAGGAACATGTGGGTGGGCGAGGATGGAGGAGATCGAGGAGGAGGAGGAGGGTGAGGAGGGCGAGCAGGGGTGAGGAGGAAGAGGAGGAGGAGGAGGAGGGGAGGAGGAGGAGGAGGAAAAGGCGGAGGAATAGGAAAAGGAAAAGGAGGAGGAAAAGGAGGAGGGGGAGATGGATGCCTTCCTACTTCGAGGGTCGAGCGGTGTCCCCGCCTCCCGCCTCTTCAGGGGGCGGGCGGGAACCCAATCTACCTCCAATGCCTTCCTCCTTCACGGTCCCACCCACGTCTTCCGACCGCCGGGTGTGGAGGGGCGCTCGGGGGCCCGTCGGCTGCCTCAGGGGTCCTCCTGGGGCGGGGGGCTCGAAGTGTCGGCTCGGGTTGCCCTCAGGGGCCCTTCCTGGGGCCGGCCTCGGGACGTCTGGTTGACTTTCTGGGCCGCCCTGGGGCCCTGTTGGGAGGAGGAGGAGGAGGAGGAGGAGGAGGAGGAGGAGGAGGAGGAGGAGGAGGAGGAGGAGGAGGAGGAGGAGGAGGGGGAGGGGGGAGGAGGGGGAGGGGGAGGAGGGGGAGGAGGGGGAGGAGGATGGAAGCCCTCTTCGGCACTTTCTTGGGCCGTGTGGGGGCGATCTCAGAGGCTTTTCTTGGGCCGCCGAGGGCGGCCGAAGAGACCCGAGGGGGCGCTGCGCCCACGCCTTTTTGTCAGGCCTTTTTGTGAGATCACCTCCTCCTCCTCCTCTTCCTCTTCCTCCTCCTCCGCCTCCGCCTCCGCCTCCTTCTCCTCCTCCTCCGCCTCCTCCTCCTCCTCATCATCATCATCATCATCATTATCATCATCATCATCATCATCATCATCATCATTATTATCATCATCATCATCGGGGTTCTGCTCGGGGCCCTCTCGGACCGTCTCGGGGGTCTCTTGGGGGCCCTTTTTGTTGCCCGTGCCGGGGCCCGCGTGGCTCGGGCAAAGGAACTGGGGACAGCGCCCGCGCACGCGGCAGGCACGGAGGAAGCCCCGGAAAGTTGGGAATTTTGAGCGGGGCTTCTTCAGCGTGCTCTCACTGAGGACTGGAGGCTCGAAGGACTTGAGGACACTCCAGATCATGCCTCAGTACACGATGGCGTGTACCATGCGGTAGCTTACGGAACGAGGAGGAGGGCGGCACGTCTTGTCTGCCTAGTTCTTTTTCCTTGCTCCTTTGGAGATGGGTGAAACGAGTAGACGCTTCAGAATGTCAAACATTCAAACTTGCGGGTTAACTCGTTCGGTCTTGGCAAAATGGTTCTGGGGCATGCCGCGTGAGACATCCTCGACCAAACAGATCGAAATGGTGGGCTGGCTGGCTGGCTGGGTGGCTGGATGCCAGGTCAAACAAACGTCTGGAGTGGTTGGGTGGTTGGGTGGTTGTTTGGCCAGTTGGTTGGTTGATTGGTCGATTGGTTCGTTGTCTGGTTGGCTGGTTTGCTGGTCGGTTGGTTGGTTGGTTTGTTGGTTGGGTGGTTGTTCGGTTGGTTGGTCGGTTGGTTGGTCGCGCATTCTGCACCAACTCTACCGCCTAAGCCCGAACCCGAGCACTGCAGCTTAACCTCCATCCCTAACACCCTAACCCTATCTCTGAGCACACACCCTAAGCAGAAACCCTACCCCTGACACCTATCTCGTAACCCTATCCCTCATCACAATTGAAACGCTGAGCTTGAAACCGTGCAACTCTACCTTTTCCGGCATGTGGTAGCGCAAGGGAGCTGAACACATACAACACATCTACGCTGCACGTCACGTGGGCACCGCAGCAGTGGAGCACTTACTCTTTAATAATATCCGTCATGCTGGAAAGCCGGCGGGCAGAACACATTCCTTTCCATTGCGCCCGCAGCGCGGCAATATAGGGGGGCCAAATACATGCCAGTCTATGTGTTTCGTCACGCGGCATCGCAGTTGGGCGAGACAAGTATTCCATTATAGTCGTCACGTAGATTTCGCTGCTGGCAGCCCAGAGACAAGAAGCTCAACCTTGGATCAATGATTCCATGGGGCTTTCAGTGTTGAGTGTCTTGCAACTTTTTTCTCGCCTTCTCGTCCCCCGGAGAGGGCGAAGCGGAGCTGGGAATGTAACGAAGAGAAGGCGGGGCCGGTCAGGGGTCTCGGGAGGCTGCAAGGCAGGACAGCTGCGTCGGGATCGCGGCGCTTCTCCGAGCGCTAGTTCTTCCTCCCACAACTTCCCGATCGTGATCGCGATATATATATATATATATATATATAGGCGGCCTGGGATGTCGAGCATTTGTCATTTGAAGTCCATGGGCTCGTGCCCACGTTATGTTACACTGTCCGCGGAATCGACGCAGGGGCGACGTGGTCCGACGTGCCGCGGCTGGACCGTCTCCTGCCGTCTTCGAAGATGCGCTGGATGGTCATTTGTGACCACACTGTCGCTCACGTTTCAACCGCATTTTAAGTGTCGCCGATGCGTTCCTCGACCTCGGCGAAGGTGACACACGGGTGATGCGGAGGAGAAGGAGGAGGATATTGAAGGAGGGGGAGGCGGAGGGGATTGAAGGAGGATATTGAAGGAGGAGAAGGAGGAGGATATTGAAGGTGGATATTGAAGGAGGAGAAGGAGGAGGATATTGAAGGTGGATATTGAAGGAGGAGGATAGTTGTTGAAGGAGGGGGAGGCGGAGGGCGGGCGGAGGGTGGATGCGTAAGGGGAAAGCAGGGGAAGAGGAGCATCAGCGCGGATCGGTGGGTATTCGCAGGCACATCTTGCGCGTGTGTACTCCCTAGGCGCTGCTTAAGAAAACCTAAGTTTTCGTCCAGAGTCTCGATTATTCTTAACTTTTCAATGTAAATCCCAAGATTTTGATAGAAGTTCTGGGTTTTTATTCAAATTCTGAGACTATGAATTTCTTAACCCATGATTTCTTAAGCATTTCGCAGGGTGTGCACGCCTGGAGGTGTATGTAGGCTCGCTGGAATCTATCTTCGCATCCACCCATAGACAGATGGGCCAGCGTATCTACTCGTGCGCGCACACAAACACACATCCGGCCCATTCCCTCCGTCGTCGTCGTCGTCGTCGTCGTCGTCGTTGTCGTCGTGGTGTCGTCGTGTCGTCGTCGTTATCTCCGGAGCAGCAGGACATGCTGCTGAACCCTTGCAGTTTCTGAAGGCCCCAGACCCCCACCTCATGGGCCTCGAGCTCGCCACAGAGGACATGGGCCCTGGAGGAACTGGGTCCCGAGGGAAAAACACAGACATAATGAATCGTCGATGCCCAGGAAAAGATGCGAAAATATGGGAAGTGGGGGGGAAAACGAAAGCCCACAAGATATGGGAGAATATGGGACATCCTGGGATCTGTGTCTGTTTATTTGTGCCCCTGGGCCCCTTTCGACGGGTCCAGAGGGAAAAACAGGGTCGTCTTCACCGACCTTGGCGCGCAAGCTGCCCGCGCAGGGTCCCGCGTGAGCGCACTCGCCTCAAGTGTGGCGTGCTTCGCCGGAGGCCTGCCCGAGCCACCGCGTGAGGCTGGGGCCACCACGAGGGTGCGAGGTTAGTTGCGCCTCGCGCTTCGCGGTTTTGGGCGATTTCAGAGCGAGGCGCGAGCGAGTCCCTCGCCCTGTCCCCCGGAAGGAGGGTGGGAGCGGTCGGCGCGGAAGCGCGACGCGTATCGCGCCTTCGCGGAGCGCGAGTCGCGAGGGGTGCTGCGCCAGGTAAGGCCGCTCCGTCAAGCCGGTGGCTGCCTGGCACCGCCCCGAGCCACCTTGGCCCGCCGACGGGGGCGGGCCACACACACACACACACACGCACACACACAACGCACAACGCACACACACACACACACACACACACACACGCACGCGCACGCGCACGCGCACGCGCACGCGCACGCGCACGCGCACGCGCACGCGCACGCGCACGCGCACGCGCACGCGCACGCGCACGCGCACGCGCACGCGCACGCGCACGCGCACGCGCACGCGCACGCGCACGCGCACGCGCACGCGCGCACGCGCACGCGCACGCGCACGCGCACGCGCACGCGCACGCGCACGCGCACGCGCACGCGCACGCGCACGCGCACGCGCACGCGCACGCGCACCGCACACGCACACGCACACGCACACGCACACGCACACGCACACGCACACGCACACGCACACGCACACGCACACGCACGCACGCACACGCACACGCACACGCACACGCACACGCACACGCACACGCGCACACGCACGCACACGCACACGCACACGCACGCACACGCACACGCACACGCACACGCACACGCACACGCACACGCACACGCACACGCACACGCACACGCACACGCACACGCACACGCACACGCACACGCACACACGCACACGCACACGCACACGCACACGCACACGCACACGCACACGCACACGCACACGCACACGCACACGCACACGCACACGCACACGCACACGCACACGCACACGCACACGCACACGCACACGCACACGCACACGCACACGCACGCACGCACACGCACACACGCACGCACGCACGCACGCACGCACGCACGCACGCACACGCGCACACGCGCACACGCGCACACGCACACGCACACGCACACGCACACGCACACGCACACGCACACGCACACGCACACGCACACGCACACGCACACGCACACGCACACGCACACGCACACACACAACGCACACAATACACAGATCTGGTCCAGTCCCCCCGTCGTCGTCGTTGTCCTTGTCGCCGTCGTGCTTCCTCCGCCGCGCGCGGGGCAGGGCAGGCCGAGGGTGAGGTGGCGGGCCTTGGCCTGGTGGGCGCAGGACGCGGTCGCGCGCGAAGCACAGGCCGGCGCAGTCGGGCGCGCCAGCCTGCCGGACGGGCGCGGCCCACGACGGCCGGAGGAAGCGCGCCGAACGCCTGCCTCGGAGTTTGGGACCGAGTGTTGCGCATCTGGCCGAGCTTGGGCGGATTCTGCCGAGCTGGAGCGGATTTGACAGAGTTTCACCTGCCTCGTCGTGCATCCCCCCCCCCCCCGTCTCCCGCTCTAGGGCCCCGCCTCCACCTCGCTTCGCCCTCCTCTCCACAGCCTCTCCCGCTTCTCGCCCCCCCCCTTTACTGCCTCCCCATTTTCCTTCCCCCCTTCCCTTTCCCCCTCTGCACCAGAATCGCGACCTGCATGACTCCCGTCTGCCCAGTGCGTCGGTGTTGCCCGCATCCCGCTCTTGTCCTGCACGTGCGGGCAGGGCGAGGCGAGGCGGACGGCAGCAACCGTTCCAAGACCAGTAGGTACACTCGATAGCTGCATCGCGAGCGCCGCGAACATGCTGGGAACGGACAAAGTTGTTGCGACACGCGTCCGCGCATTCCTCCTCCTCCTCCTCGTCCCCTCCCTCCTCCTCCTCCTCCTCCCCTTCCTCCTCCTCATCTCTCCTCCTCCTCCTCCTCCTCCTCTCCCTCCTCCTCCTCCTCCTCCTCCTTTCCCCTCCTCCTCCTCCTCCTCCTCCTCCTCCTCCTCCTCCTCCTCCTCTTCCTCCTCCTCCTCCTCCTCCTCCTGTTCATCTTCCTCTTCCTAGGCCTCCCTTTGCAGCATTCATCCTCTCATGTATGCCTTGCCGCATCGCTAGCGTCTGGATGTGGCGAGAATGTGGTGTGAGTGTGGATGTGGGGGATGTGATTGGGTCGGTTACGTCATGAACTGCCTTGCAAGCCGCCTCTGCCGTCCACTGCGCCTGAGGGGTCGAGGAGTCACCGCACTTGCTGCCCGGGCCCGCCCGCGGCCAGGCTGCCTGACGCTTCGGCTCCTCGTGGCCCACTAGCTTGCCTAAGAGAGATGACAGGGAGGCCTCCACGTCGTACATGGCGCGGACGACCCAGGCATGCGACGTCCTGATCTGTTCGTTGCGCAGTCCCTGGAAGTCCCGACCCTTTCCCCGGAGCCGGCCTGTCGTCCCGGGTCGTTTTCTGACGGCCCCGGGGCCCGGCGAGGGCCCCCAGGGGCCGAACATGTTTTTTTCCACAACGCGATCATGCCTGGGGAGGGCCTCGTCCGTGAAGCACGCGAAGGACCGGCTGGACGAGGCCCCCCCTCGCGGGGGTTCCTCGCCGCAGGGGCCCGCCGCGGGCACGCGTCTTGGGGTAAAACGATGCGACGATCGGGACAAAATCGGATCGGGATAACTCGAAATCTCTGAGAATCGGCGGGTTTGGAGGATGTATTGGGCGCCGCGGCCGCTCCAGAGCGTTCCGGAACGCTCTGAGAGCGCTCCGGAACGCTCTGGAGCGATTTATCCCGATCCTAGCCCTGTTTTACCCCAGGGGCCGAATCTGTTATTTCCACGACGCGATCCTGCCTGGGGAGGGCCCCGTCCGTGAAGCACGCGCAGGACCGGTTGGACGAGGCCCCCCCCCCCCCTGGCGGGGGTGTCCTCGCCGCAGGGGCCCGCCGCGTCACGCGTCCTGGCCTCCTCCTCCTCCTCCTCCTCCTCCTCCTCCTCCTCCTCCTCCTCATCCCTCCTCGGATTAGATCTGTTAGCAGGTATGTGGCAGTGCTGTGAGGCGATCGGCCTCTTACCCAAACAGCTGTTGTGGGTGCTAATGCCAATGTTGCCGAAACCATCGACAGGACACAGGCTAATCGTGCTCTATAGCGGTATGTACCGCATCTGGCAGAGGCTGAGGCGGCCCATGCTAGGTGCTCTAATGGAGGAGGTGGAGCGTGGGTACTGGGGGGCGAGTCGGGGGAGGAGTTCTGTGGACTGTGCGTGGGCACAAGCGGCGAGAGCGGAGGCCGATGAGACCTCCAACCGCTTCAGTGTACTCCTAATTGCAGATTATAGTAAGTACTATGAGACGATTCCCCTACTCGAGCTTCGGGACAAGTTTCTCGAATTCAAGGTACCCGCTGCATTTTTGAAACTCGTTTTCAATGTGTGGAGGGCTCCTCGGGTGTTGCGGCTCGGGCAGCACCACTCTGGTGCATGCAGTTAAAGCGTTTGATGAGTTTGTTGCTAGTCAGCCTCCTCTTGTTCGTTTCACGTCGTATATCGACGACTCGGGCATACAGATATCCAGCTCCCAGAGAGAGAGAGCGCAGTGCAACTTGCCATCTCTGCAGGCCGTGCTTTTTATCACGCGAGTAAGCAGATAAATGCGGTGATCAACGATAAGGTCGCAGTTGTCGCCAGCGAGGTTTCACTTGCACGGGAGGTCGTGCGAGGCCTAGGGCTTGAGCCCAAGGTTGTGAAGCAATCAGTTACTTATCTCGGCGTTGATGACAGTGCTGGTGCAAAGCGTTCGTCTGCACGTGCGCGTGTAAAACAGCGGTCCCGCCTCTGGGGAATGAAGCTGAGAGTAAAAAAGACTGGCAGGTTTAAGTCTCGAGCCCCTAACAAGGAGGCCAAGAAAGTTTTGTCTCAGGTCCTTCGCACGGGTGTTGCTCCCGCGTCGTCGTACGGGTCTGAGGTGTTGGGGTTCTCGGAAGCTGAGATCAACACGGTGCGAAGGACTCAAGCTCGAAGGTTGCCCCCGTCTCACGGTGGGACAAGTGCGACTGCGAAGCTTGTGCTGTATGGAGAGTGGGACACTCGGGCAGCAGTTGGTCCTGCGCTTCAGTGGTGTCGAATGCTTTGGAATTCCCAGGTCAATCCCACTCGTTCCCTGGTTCCCTTCCAGGAGCTGCTTCAACTTTGGAAGCAGGCCAAGGCCAGCGATGCTGGCGATTGGAAGTCCAGCCGTGGCCCCTTGTCTCGTGCCACGTTGTCGGCTCGTCGTGCTGGCTGGAAAGTGGTGTCAGGAACGCAGTGGATCGACCATTGGGGGTGCACCGTAGATATAAGCAAGACCCCGCCTCGCCTCCTCCTCGACCTTTTGAGAGAGGGTTTGCAGCGCGAGGCTGAGTTTCGTTTTGCACGCAAGCTTGGACATGTGCAGGGCATACGTGCTACGTTCGACCTTGTGCGAAATTGCATGTGTACGCGCAGCAAGCATCACACTCGGCAGCACCAGTTCCTCCTTTTGTCCTGCGCCACGGATGCGATTTGGACCGAGGCTCGTGCGTGTGATGCTGGTTACTTAACAGATGGCGCGTGTGTGTGCGGCCAGCGTGACACGTTGCACCATAGGCTGTGCACTTGCGAGCGCCTAGAGGTTGTGGGGGCCCGACGAGAGCTCGAGATCCCGTCGGAAATTTTAGAGGAGGGGGCACACAGCGATGATCCTGTGTTCACCCGTGGCCTTTTCACGTTCTCTGATGACGATGTGCCCCCTCCTGCCTCGCACTCTCATCGTGATATCCTCGACGGCGCAGGAGCCATTTTGAATATGCAGCCTGAGGATCTCGTGACGCTCGCAGGAGATGTGGTGGAGTTGGAGATGGCGTCGGACGGGAGCTGCACGAAGCAGGCCCTTCGCTGTCTCCACCGCGCTTCGTGGGCGATCGCGCTCATGGAGCCAGGCAGCGAGTCTCTCTTGGCCATCCTCAGGGGTATTGTGCCTGGTGGTCTCCCCCAAACTCTTGCTATGGCCGAACATGCGGGGGCGGCCCTAGTCGGGCAGGTAGCAGATCGTCCCACTTCCCTGGCCTGGGGTGTAAAGCTGTGATATGTCAGACCCAGAGGCCACTGTGGAAACAACTTGCTGGTTCCAATACATATGCTGGTGCGAGGCGGTTTGCCCATGAACCAGCAGGCGCGGAGTTCCTGTCGACCTTCCATGTAAAGGCCCATCGTGGGTTGTCTGCTCTCGAGGAGTTTGAAGGCGACGATCGCAGGTTTGGTTTCGCGAATCGCGCTGTGGATGAGCACGCAAAGAAGGCCCTCGAGGGCCACCCGCGGCCCCTGCCCACGTTTTTGGACCGCGTTGAGTTGTATCAGAAGCGAGCTGATGCGTTCATAAAGCTTGCTGCTGGAATTCTACCCCTCTTTAAAAACGAAGTGCGTTGGAAGAGGTCCGTTTTTACCACCCAGGGGGGGGAGCCGCCAACAGAAGACCTGGCATCTCTGGGGGAGGTCTGGACTCGGGATGCAGTGCAGGTATTGCTGGACGGTGAGTGATCGACCCGACAGGCCCATGTTCAGTTGCAGGGGTCCGCCTCCTGCTCTCCAGAAGCTGCTGCGGGATCCCCTGGGGCATCAGCTCGTCGCTGTGTCGGGCTCGGCTCTTGAGGTTCCGCGGTCGGAGGCTTTCCTCGGGCCCTGTCGTGAGCAGCAGATTCTGTGTTTAAAATGCGGGGGTTGGTCTCAAGGGAGAGCCGTGAAGCTCGCTGAGGTCTGTGGCAAGCCTGCGCGTAAGGGACTGGATGTCCTCAGCCGTTTTAGGCGGGGGCTTGGCCCTAACCCCAAGATTCGTGAAGTGCTGGATAAGGCGTTGCCTGTAGCACGCTTAGTTGATGCTCGTGATACGGACGATAAGCCCGAGCTGTGTGTTACCTCAGTCCCGCGAGCGTTTTCGGACTCTCCCTCGGCCCCCTCGTACGAGCAGCGTATGGCGGCTCTTGCTGCCAGAAGTAAAGCTAACGAGGCTAGGGCCTCAGGGGCGGTTTAACTCGGGTCGATCCCCCCATCTGCTTTTGGTGATGTCACCTCTCGACCTTTCAAGGCGCCGTCCATCCATTCCTCCTCCTCCTCCTCCTCCTCCACCTCCTCATCCCTCCTCCTCCTCCTCCACTCCGAGGCCCGCCGACCGCCCCCCCGAGCGCCCCGTCCTCTGTCCGTCCACCCGTCTTCCCGCCTCCCGTTTCTCCCTTCCCCCTTCCCCCGCCCCGCGGTGGCCTCCGACTCCACCTCGTCGGTTTCCTCCTCCTCCTCCTCCTCCTCTTCCTCCTCCTCGTCACCATCAGCATCAGCATTCGCATCATCATCATCAGCATCATCATCATCATCAGCAGCATCAGCATCATCATCATCGTCCTCATCCTCATCATCGTCATCGTCATCATCATCATCATCATCATCAGCATCCTTATCCTCATCCGCATCCGCATCCGCATCCTCCTCATAATCGTCATCATCATCGTCATCACCATCATCATCATCATCATCCATCCTCCTCCTCCTCCTCCTCCCCCTCCTCCTCCTTCTCCGCCCCCCGCCCCTCCGCGCACCTCCTCCTCCTCCTCCTGCTCTTCCTCCTCCTCCTCCATTCCTTTTTCTTTTTTTGTAAAATAACAGTTCCCCTTCGTACTCCGAGGCCTGTTTTTAGGGCAGGCCGGGCGTTTCGCCTGAGACGTCATCACCATTTATGATTGGGCAGCTTAAATATTGACGACAGTTTCACAAATGGAGAGCTCTCGCGTTCTCGCTGTGCACATTCGTTTTAAACATTAGCCAGAGTTTCACGGATTGCGGGCGAGTCGTTTTCAACATGTGGATCTCACCTTAGC